TCCCAGCACTCACCTGGGCACTGGGCCTGCCTCTGCAGCTGCTGCCTCTGTTCCCGGGCCCTGTCCTCTGGGTGGAGGGGCTGCCCCGTGTCGTCTCTGGGGATGATCTTGCCATGGAACGGGCACTGCGGCAAAGCAACATGGGCATCACCCTCCGAGTCTCTGCCACCCACCCTCACCACCCTCAAAGGAAGGCGCCAGGGTGTGGCCATCCTGGGACTGGGTGAGGGGCATCTGCCTGAGTCAGGCCTCCCCCCAGCCCAGGCACTGCTCAGGGAGAGAAATGCAGGAACAAGCCAAGTCCTGCCTGGAGGCCCAAATGCTGCCCTCAGGCTGGGAAGGCACCAGGCCTAGTCCAGCGGCCAAGCGGTGGCTGCAGCCAGGACAAGCCCCCCAGGCGCTGGGCCAGCACCAGCAGCCCCGTGGAGCCCGGCTCGCCCTCAGGCCCCAGGGCTGCCTCACCTTCAGCCGGTCCTGGCGCTCACAGAGCCGGCCGTCAGGCCTGGGGGCACGGCACTGGTGCTGCACAGGCTCGAACCTCCCCGCGAAGGTTATGTGGCGGCTCCGCAGCACCTCCAGGACCTCGGCACTGTTCACCTCCTCCTCTACCTCGCTGGGTTTCCAGAAGCGGTGCTGAGACTCAGCCCTGCAGCACGGGCCAGACGGTCAGAACCCCCGAGGGACACTGCCCAGACGGTCAGAGCCACGCAGGGACACTGCCCCAATGGGGTTCACATGGGCAGAGCCGCGCCCCCTGGTCTGTGGGGCCAGAGCACAGCCCAGCGCAGTGAGGGGTGGCTTCCCGACACTACTCGCAGAGCCCCAAGCCCAGCTCATTCGGAGTCCGAGGAGGTCAGGGGGCAAGGGCAGTTGTGACAGGGACAGTGGTGACAAGAGCTGGAGGAGCCTTAAGGGTGAGGAACCGCCCTGGGCCCTGGTACCCAGATGACACGGGGCATCTCCTAGGGGACAGAGAGGCTCAGGAAAGCCCAAGGTCTAGGACGGGGCACGACTGTGTCACACAGCTGGGCGGGTGCAGGTGGAGGGAGCAGGGCCGACGAATGAGACCCGCCTGCACTCACTTGAGGATCTTCCCCACGGCCTCCGGCTCCTGGCCCCAGTTGCATAGGTCCACCCCAAAGGGGACAACGGGAGCCCGGGCCCGCTCTGCTGCCAGCTTCTGGGCCTCCTCTGGTCCCAGTGGTGTCCTGCAGGGGCCACAAGAACAGAACAGGACGCTCTGTGTGCCAGGCCAGCCACAGCCACAGCCACCCGCTTCTTCCTCTCCTGGGCACAGGCCCAGGGTCGGCACCTGTGACCAATGACCTCCGCTCGGGCTGGGCTCCAGGGCAATGCTGAGGCTGTGAGGGGTCCTCACCCGGGGCCTGGGTGCCCAATGTCCACCCCCAAGCCCCAGAGCCTCGGCCGTTCCCCTGCCTGCTCCCACTGGCCCTGGCCCTAGATACAGGTGCTGGCAGGTGCACACCTGGGGCTGCCTTCAAGGAGCCAAGGCGGCCTCAGGGGCCAGGGAGGCAGGCCGTGCTCTGGGCAGACAGTGGCGGGGAGTCACCTGGGGCTCGGGCACGGGGCTGGGGGCAAGCGGCCCCGGAGGCGGTGGAGCTGGGCGGCAGCCGAGGTGGGGTCGCTGGCCTCCACGTCCATCTTCATGCTCTTCCTCGCCTGCAAGCCCTGCGCAGCCAGGTCTTTCTCCAGCCCTGAAACACAATTCCTACTCCTGGTCACCGTCCCCCGGACAGACGCCATGGGGGGCACTGTGCTCCCATCCCACGAGGAGGGAAGGTGGTGGCCGGGCAGTTAGGAGGTGGCCCACGTTTGTGCCGTCCACGGAGCTACGCCGAAGCCCGATGCTGGCGTCTCCCCCACGTCCTCCCAGGGCACGGCCACAGATGAGGCTGACATGCCCTGACTTCTGCAGGCCGGTGTCCGTCCCACACTCCTGGGGCAGACGAGGGCACCAGGGAAACCCACTGCCCTCCCCAGACCTGCTGCCGGCTGCGCCGATGCCACTACCCACGTGGGCGCCCAGCACGTCCCCAGGAGCCAGGTTACCATCACGTGCAGACGCCAATAAACTACAGAAGTTTATGGTGGACGGCAAAGTAAGTACAGATCTTTAACAATCAGGGAGGCTGCCAGAAGAACGTTTATGTTTCTTCAACCCTCACCTGAGAACGCTGACTGACTTTAGAGATTGGGGG